TAACAGGTTATGTGCAAAAATATGCATCAACAGAATAAAATAAAGGGATAGAAATTATGGGGAGTGAGCTTTTGACATGTATGGTAGAGGTAGATTTTCAATGTGTGTTTGGGTTTTTGGTAAGAAAGAAAGAAAGAAAGAAAGGAAGAAGGCACTGTGAGGTTCAGATCATAGGTGAGAGGTGAGGTGAGAGTGAGAGTGAGAGAGGCTGGGAATTTAACAGTTTGATAGTGCGGGGGTAAACACTGTCTCTGAGTCTGGTAGTCCGGGCCCGAATGCTCCGGTACCGTTTTCCAGATGGTAGCAGATCATAAAGTCTGTAGCTGGGGTGTGTGGGGTCTTTGATTATGCTTAGAGCTTTCCTCAAGCACTGTCTGTCATAAATGTCCTGGATAGATGGGAGGGTAACCCCAGTGATGGACTGGGCAGTTTTCACCACCCGCTGTAGGGCTTTGCGGTCAGCAGCACTGCAGTTGCCATACCACACTGTGATGCAGCCTGTCAGTGTGCTTTCTGTAGTGCATCTGTAAAAGGTAGTGAGGATCTGGGGACATATCTTGGCTTTCTTCAACCGTCTTAGGAAGTACAGGCGCTGTTGCGCTTTCTTGATCAGACAGGTGGTGTTGAGAGACCATGTGAGGTCCTCGGTGATATGGACACCAAGGAATTTAAAGTTACTGACCCTTTCCACTTCCTGACGTTGAGGGTGAGGTTGTTGTCATCACACCATGTTGTAAGGAGATTGACCTCCTCTCTGTAGGCCCTCTCATCATTGTCCGTGATCAGACCTACAACTGTGGTGTCATCGGCAAACTTGATGATGGATTTGGTGTTGTGTTTGGCCTTATAGTCGTGGGTATAGAGGGAGTAGAGCAATGGACTAAGCACACACCCCTGGGGGACCCCAGTGTTCAGAGTTAGTGTGCCCGAGGTGTGGTTTCCAAGCCTGACAGCCTGAGGTCTGCCTGTCAGAAAGTCCCAAATCCAGTTGCAGAGGGTGGTGTGTTAAAATGTGTTAAATGTGTGTTATTAATGTGTTAAAATTAATTGCACTTTTAAGGGCAAAAGCTTTGTTTTTCCAAAGCTGTAGATAATTAGAAACACTTCCTTTTCCTTAATTAGTATGAACATGAAACATCATTGTTACGAGCACAGACAGCACCAATTATCCCTAATTATTCAATCTTCATTCCACACCCTTTCCTTCACTATTTAAACCCTCAGCTCACTCCAAACCAACCCTTGGTATTAGGGATCTTTCTGTCTCCTGAGCTCTTGCCTTCTTCAACTGTCAACACCCTCTCTCTCTCTTTGGAAGCAACTTTGCCTGGAACTACTGACCACTGTCCTGCCTCCCCTGTCTTGGACTCATTTGCTACTGGGCCCCTTCGGAGACCTGCACAGGTTCGTTAAACTGGCTGTAACAATCATGCTGTTGTTCATTTACTGTAGTACAGGAAAAAACAACCAAATCTCTGTTTAGGGAACAGGTATAGGTTTATTCTATGCTGAAAACCCTGAAGAAGGTTCCATAACTATGACATTGTTTCTTTACTCTTCAGCATGGAATAAACCTTTACCTGTTTCTTTGCAGCTGCAGCTACAGTACCTACTCAAATCTCTTTAGTGCAGTTTGTCATATATAATGGATTTCTTTGTAACTCTCTCTTAAAATAGTTTATTAAACTCTAAAAAGCTGAAAAAATGAATGACAACACATTTAAAAGTATTGTATTTGAAAGGGAGTAATTTCTTCAATTTGTCAAAGACAGAAACAATTCTTGGAAATGTTCAAGGTTTTCTAAATCAGAGGACTATCTATATATTTAATTGTAATAAACTAATGCATTTAGAGGTGAAATTCAGATAGCCTAATGCAAAAGATTAAAAAGTAAAGCTTTCCAAACTTGAATTATGTGCTGTTCCTTGTACACATAGATTTGAGGTGTATATGCTGTAATCAACGGGGATGTATTCTGGTACCTGGTGAAGATGCTCTATACAATATAATACAGATACTGAACTTTCCTTCACACTAATGATGGTCTTTAACTTCTTTTGCTTTATGGCAGCATAGTTGTACATAGATAATGTACTGTGATTCTCAGTTGAGTGTTTGACTCCACAAACACTGTACTGCAAACAGTCTTGTCATTCCAAAGACAGACCACTGTCTGCTGGCCCAGAAACCCAGCCCTTTGGCACCTATCCGTGTGTTTAATACAGAGCCCCAATGCTGTAGTACAGCTCATGGATTATTTACTGTAATCTTCTGCTTCCTGTCTGCTGTGCTGCAGTCATGCAGTTCGCAAAGAATATGAATGGAGTTAGACAGCTGCTTCACAGAGCTTTCTCCTCACGTCTGCTCTCAGGTTGTTCAGTGCATTTCAATTGTCCTGCTGCCTCTAACCTGACCTGACACTCCCAGTGTTGTGCTTTTTATACAGAGAGGCAGACGAATGCTTTTCACTCTTCTGCTTAATAACATTGCCCAGTAAATTGTTTTCAACACCTCATGTTTAAGAAGTCTCAAACCATGTCATGGTATTTGTTTCTATGCTAACAATATTGCTTAGGTTTGACATTAGCTCTTAGATTGTACAGACCAGGAAGCACTTCTTATCTGAAACACAAAGTCACTATAAAGTCTATTGACATTGGGTTTGACAGAAAATAAAACTTTAACATGAATTAACATTTTACTGAGATTGAGTTCACTCAATAAGGACTCTATAATATTTTTTTTTTAGGAAAACATTTAAGAATCTGAATGCATAGTAATTTATCTTACCTAAGACAACATCACATGCTGGATAATTCATGCTTGTTACCATTAGTTTTTACATGGACAGGTGTGTGAAGCTAAAATATTAAAAGCAGTCCTTTTTTACTTCATTACTATAACTTATACCAGAGCCTTTAGCTTATAAAAACTCAAATGGATTAAAACTGTGTATACTGTGTTGCATATTTTGGATTAATTTTTTTGTTTTTCTACAAACTGGTAGAAGAAGTAAACGTGCTGTGAAAGCATTTGCTGCATTCAGAGTAGAGGCTCTGAGCTCAAGCTGTACTAAAGCTTTAAAAAGATGTGTTTCTTTTCTATACATCCTACAAAGTTCTACAATGCTTTATACATTTCCAACAATGCAACAAATATTTTCCCTGAGTTTTTAAGAAGAACCTTAGACGTATCCTGTCACTCTCATCTGATATCCCATTACAATGGGACACCAAAGACAATGCCAGGAGAAATCTACAAACTCATTCTAATAACACTGGCAACTGGAAGCATCACCCGCTGTTAGCTTTTATTCCATCTGACAGCTACCTTGCGTAGGAAAACGGGAAAATACAATTATTACAGGCTTTCTGCTGTTGGCTTCTGTGCCTGCATTGATTAGGGAGTAATGGGCAGCATTATGCTATTGATCGATCAGAGTGAGATTCCACTCTGCAGCCCGGCTCAGTTTAAGATGCAGACAGCTTTCTTTACTTTGCACATCAGTGTTTCTATATATCACCATGTCACTGTCAGCCAGTAAGGTACTGGGATTCCTGCAGGCTATGGGATGAAATATACTGAAATGCTTTTAAAAGAAGGACTAAAAACATGCCAGAAATTCAAAACCTACTGTACTGGAAACTGAAAGCACACTATATCCCTCTTTAAATAGCAAATTCCTTTTCATATGTACTGTATACACTTTTATTTTTGTATGCACGATGCAGTTTTGAAAGGTATTTCAGCAGGGGATGCAGTTTTATTGGAAAAACTGATAATGGTGCCAAGGTCTTATTTATACATGGGAAGGATGTACTGTTTTTTCCTGAGCAGTAAACATTAAAATGTTGGCTGTATTTAGTTCTCATTCGGAAACATTTTTCTAAATCTCATCTCTTGCAGGAAATGCCAGGCTGTGGTTTAAATTGGATTGTTATTGCTTTCTTTCTGTCAAATAACAAATTCTTATCTCGCCTCCAAACTGACAATGAGATGGCATGAAAAACGCCTAGGTTTTAAATAAAAAGGCCAGCAACAATTTTAGATCAATTGAATTTAATATGATACATGATCGCTCTTGAGACAGGGATTACTGAAAGTGATTGGTAACATTTGTCTGTAGAAACAAACCTACTCTTTGACAAGCATACACCTGATTCTCCAGCTCTTCTCCTTGTGCTTCTGAACAGTCTTCATTAACCACTTGTCTGCTGACATAACAGAAAAGAGATGAGTAGATGGTCAGATGAAGCCTGTATTTCTGAATGGTGAGTGACTGAAAAACACGATTTTCAACAACACATTTTATTTTGTAATTTTCTCTGGTTATCAAGGGCTAAAATACTTTTAATACAGCAACCGTACTCCACACACTATGCTTTATAGAACTATGAAAAAAGTGTTCCATCTATATAAGTTCAAAGCTACAAAAATACGGGCAGTAACCAGGCCAGACCATTGAAGGCATTTTCCTTGCATGTCTATGACTGATAGTAAAGATGGTAAGACTTAAAGAGGTGTAAAAAAAGGGATCAAATTATACTTTTAAAAGGTTGATACCCATATGTTAAAATCAATTTGACTGATTCCTTAAAGTTGATATTTTTTCTTACTTTTCTGTGAATTCTTTGTTTTGGTAGGGTAGGATTAGACCTGCTTTTCTTCCTGGTCACAGCTCGTATCAACCCCACATTTGGAAATGTATGATATGGTGGTTGGATAGCTCAGGGTCTAGAACCTGGCACTCAAAAACATCAGGTTCTGGAATTTGAGACCCATCTAGTAGCAGTGTGGGGGAAGAATAAACACCTCCACCACTGAACACATAAAAGAGGCACCCCTCTCTCCTCCATGACTGGCAATGAGCATGTGGTGTTGATGAAGATGATGATGACCTAGAAGCATACACATTAATTTGCAGTTTTATTTATTATTTTTACATAAAAGTTCTTCTACAAGGTGCTTTATCAAAATAAATAAAAAGCTCCATTTTCTTTTGTGATATAAATTATTTATTTACATTACAGAAAAAACCCCATCAAGACAATGTATAACTATTTGAAATATATTCATACATAATCAAATATAGCCATAGTATCATGTCTTCATTGGTGTCGTGTACCACAAATGCAAGGCAACATGTGTAGCTCCTCCCCCAGTCCAGAGAGACACCCCCCTGCCCCTGCGCAGCTGTGAGCAGTCCGCAGTGTTGAGGTGGGAGGTCAGGTTTGGGGGGCATTGGTTCAGTACTCTTGCATGGTCCTTAGATGAGCCGGGTTGAAGCTCGCATTGTGTTTTCTGAACTGTAGTGCGTTGCATTTTGTTTCTGCCTGTTTATCCTGTTACTCCTTGGACATTTGCTGTTAAAACATAAAAAAAAGTTTTTCTTTTCAATTATTAACCTGGTCATTGGTTTCTGCTCTTTGATCAGTTATAAATTTGATTATTTTCAATCAATGTCTGAAATAGAAAATCAGAGTACCTAAGTTCTTTTGGGTTCTAAGATCAGATGAGACAGCAATTCAAATGATTCTCGGGTATTGTGTAAACCATAACTGGTTCTTAAATCATCCATTCATTATCAAATAGTTATTTGTACGGCTATTTGATACAACTGTAGAAGTGTAGAGTGCATAGAAGGATTGAGGGCATAGCACTATTCTCACTCTGGACAAGGTCATTCCACCAACATGGATAAAAATAGCCAGTCAAAGTGAGCCAGCATGTTCTGGCAGGTGGGTGGAAACTGGAACACCTGGTGAAAACCCAACCAAGCACGGGACGAGAAATAGAAACTCCTCACAGAAACAATCCCAGGCCAGAACTGCACCCAAGACACAAGAGCATTGAGGTGTGAGAACTAAATGCCTCACTCTTTATCTGTTTTTATGTCTTTTAAATCCTCCACTATCAAAACCTGCATCACCAGAGAAAAAAAAATAATCTTAAAATGAACACAAATGTGAAACTGAACTATAAATAGTTTAATTCTGTCATTGCTGAAATACTTTCAGACATTTAATGCACCTATATGCACATTTTGTTTGTGTCTGTCAAGTAGGTTTAAAGAGTACAACTCATCGTTTAAAACTTTAGTGAGGGCTGTTCCTATGTTCTGCCTCATCCCTCATACATGCTTACTGTGGCTCAGATATGTAAAATCTGAGTGTGAAGTGTGGGTAAAAGTAAAGAGAATCATATAAAGACAGATGTTAAAGAATGGCACAATCATTGAAGACAATAGGAAAACCATAGGAAAATGCAAAAGGACTGTCCACATTTATTGTGGTAAGCTTTCATGAGGATTGTACTTCAAAAAATGTGAAATTAAATAACAGCAAAAATCTAGATTATAAATGATTCATTAACAGTGAGGTCTGTGGGTGCAGACTGAAGGAATTACTCGGCCCTAATAAGGCAGTTAACATTGATGAGACTGCCCTCTAATGAAGCACTGACTGGCTACTCTCACAATCATTAAATGATTTAGATTAAATGTGGCTGAAATGTTGTTGTTCTGGTGACACCATCCCTTGTCCTGGCTCATCCACAGTTTGAAGACAGCAAGAAGCGTTCTGGGAATAAGTTACATCATTCCTATTAAATATGAGCTCCCTTTGTTTTTCTAGTAAATAAATGCACAAATTCAAGCACTTTAGCACTGCATTACTTTTACATAAATCCTCAATTACAATTATCATGGACTGTTTGGTCTGATTTTTTTTTACTAAATGCCTTCACCTAAATCTTGGCAGCATACTGTAGCCGTCTTTAGGATATCTTGATGTATAGCATTTTAAGAGTAATCTGTTGGATATACCTGCTGTGAAGCGTGAGACATAACACATTCTCCATTTGTATGCCTTAAAAGCTAGAGAAGACACTCCCCATAATTACTGTAAGAAATAAAGGGGTAACATAAAGGTGGCTTCTACTCAGTAACCTCTCAAAATTAACTTTCTTGAATAGCCAGTCTATTTAGACTGTTCTTTGACTGCATGACAAATAAGGCTAAAAATATTAATTTGGATTTAAAAGCTTTGAAATAGTGAGGAATTCAAAAATGCACTTAGTGTAAAGCTTCATTAGTGTCATTTTTTAGTTACATGTTTAGAGATGTTTTGATGAACTTTTAAAATGGTTAAACAGTATATGTGCATGTGTACAAGTTCCTGTATAACCCCAATGTTTAACTCATTTGCCTACCGTGTTGATATCCAGTTACCCAACTCAAGGAATAACATTAACAGGTCCAGTAGTTTCAGTTTAAGGACTAAAACTTGCAATTGAAATGCAAAAACACTACCATAAGGGGAAAAGGCTTAATTGTTCTGAGTTTAGCTGAAGCGTTTCAGTCTAGCCCAGGGCTGGATACTCAATGGAGACCTTCATTTCTTAGAGAATTACAAATGTTGCATACATTTGATTGAAGGTCAGGTTCTGTTGAACTCTTGCATTTTCTCATTGAGAAAAAAAACATTCTGGTAAATTTGAAGTATTTTAAGATCTGAAATCAATATTTTGCCTAGGTCTGGCATGGTATGAAGGGCGAAAGGAAAGATAGGGAAATCAGCCCAGCGCCACACAAGGTCTCATAGCTGCTACTCTCCCCGTGCAAGAGATCAGCTCAGTAGCCCTGAGGTCCTATTTTCCATAAACAATAGTTTGAATGTGTTTCCCTGTCAAGCCTTTGGATTAGGTTTTATAATGCTGATTATTACTGTAGTTATTTGCACTGACAGCAAAGCTCTCTTCTAGGTCTAGAGGCCATGGGAAAGAAACTTACCGCTCACATGTGGCTGACAACCAAGTACCTATTAGCGCAATGCAGCCAGCACTATGGCAAGTTAAAACTACATGGGAGTCTGCCTCACATTTGGGAGAGAAAAAAAAACCACAACTGGACTGATTGAGTAATGTATTCTAAATGATCGCTTAAGATGTGTAGACTATCAGTATAAGAAGTGGTCAATTCAGATTTCCAAAAATAGGGTAGGGTGGAAAGAAATCAGACAAAGCTTAGAAAAAGGCAGAATAAGGTAGCTGAACCCGGTAAGACGTCACTAGGAAGCTCACAATAACTAAACCCAAAGGTATCACTGTGATGAAAGCCATAACATGTAAAAAAATAAGTTTTCCAGAAAAGGCCCCGGTACAAGATTGAGCACAGTAGGCTTTGGGTGAGCAGCTGAATGTGAGAGATGGAAATGGTTTTTGGGGGCGCAAGTGGGGAACCACGGTCTGTCAGCTCAATACCATCCTCATGTGTTTATTCACTGCTGCTGCTCTCCATAAAGATTTCTTTACATCATCAGTCTTCGAGTGAGTTTGAATCCCCTGACATGTTTGGGGAAAAAAGAGGAAAATAAAAAAAGACGGTGTGAAAAGCAGCCACAGGAGGCTAGTTTACAGGTACTGGCTTGAACAGAGGGGGGGCACTTAACATTCAGGGAAAGGTCACCAGTCAGAAGTTCCAGTGCTGATTGCCCTGTTGGGATGGCTCAGTCCCAGATCTGTGTGCCTCTGAAAGCAATCATTAAAAGGCTGCTAAAGCCCGGAATGTTTCAATACTCTTGGAGTTCAGCAACGTAAGTGTTTATGTATCTGTATGTCAGTGTGCCTGGATCTACATCTGAATGTCTAAGCTATTCCCGCTAAGCATAACCACTTTATTCTCATTTTATAAATAAAAGTACATTATTTGATGAAGCATAACCGTCAAAGCTTTCCCAGTGTTTGGAGAAAATATTTCTGTTTACCGATGCTCGCACTTCAGAAATGAAATACTTAATTGAACAAGGGTAAACAGCAGTCAAGAAAATCAATTTTCTAATCTCAGCCTTTTACATATCATTCTGAAAATTTTCTCCAAACACATCTCAGTACAAGATACCGATTGGTACAAGACCAGCTCAAAGGTTGCTATAGAAACACTTTATTTTTTTTATTTTAGGCTGAGTTGGGGAAAGTGTAACCTTCAGAAGCCTTTTTTTTTCCACAGAAGAGCATAATGAAAGGACTAAAATGGATTATTAAAGATTTTTGTTTTGGCTGTGACTGATTTTGTTGCCTTGTTAGCTATATTGGAAATGTTCAGCATGGATTGCAGAGGAAAAAAAGAAAACTCTTGGTGCTTGCTATAAAGGGCTGATTTATTTCACATTACATTGAAGTGCCTATCCTGACTGGACTGCTGCTCTGTGCAGGGTGTAAACCTGATTAAGAAATAGCAATGTGCAAGAAGCTGTTTTGGGATTTATTTTTCATGCTATTTTGACCTAAAAAAGCATTTTCTGTTTTTGCCTTTTTAAACAATACATAGTTAAATTTTATTCTATTTTTTTAATCAAACTAAATAATCAAACTGCTTTACATAATAACTAACAAATAACACTGAGGCACGCTACATTTTTATTCACTGACACAGCATATTTGTAGAAATAAAATAGATCATCTTCTGCATTTGTATCCCTACTTTCAAAAAGAGGTATAACAAATTTTAAATTCATAAATAATTTATTGACTTTTGGGGGCTTTATTTACACAGTGATTTCCCAACAGCTGTCTGGGGTTTTGATTTGTAATTCAGATGGGTTGTCTGTCCTCCCTAACTGCCCTACAGTATGACAGACAAGAGATGGCATATTCTGTCTAAAGTTACATACCTTGCTTTAAGTGGCGTATTACACTAATAGCCCTTACACATGATGACTCATAGACAATGTCTTTGCATGAAGTGTACTGATGCTTTGGACTTAGCCCCGTAGGGACCGACTGACATTAATGAGAAAAGAAAGAAGCTGTGAAGATGGGCACAATGCCCTTTTTCCCAGGTGACGCATACTAACTGCGTTTTCTCCATGTAGTTCACCCCTGTGTGAGCAATAAAATAGGGGAGACAGTGTATCAACCTTGCTTTGCTATTTTGTCATTATCTATTTGTCTGTGGTGATGGTTAAGGGAATACTCCTGCCCTGCCTCTGATGTTGCTGGTTGTGTTCCTCCCTGGGTACGTCTCTGAATCGGTGTCCAAATTCCTGTTTGTCCACAGCTGTCAGGCTGTATCTGTGAGCCTGTCTCACACTGCACTTACCGTGTTATACATAATACCACCACACAGATGATGGCAACCTGCACAGCTCCAATAATGGACGCGATGAGGACATAGCGCAGCTTCCCTGAGCCTGGCACCACATACAGAACGTTGTACTCCTTGGTGTCACACTGAGGCCCGCTGAAGCCTGAGTCACACCTGCACACAAGACAGTGAGGCTGGGTGAGAGTCAGGACAGGAGGGCTCCAGAGAGCCAGTAAATCTCAGTTCTACACTGTATTCTGTGCACCTGTACTGCAGAACACTCATATCACTATATACAGTAACATTCCCTCCATAAGGTGGAAAGAGTTTGGAGTAATACGTGGCTCTGGTCAAATAAACAGCAGATTATATGATCTCTTTTACAGGCACTGCAGTTGCAACTCATTCTGACCGCATAAAACCAATCAGTCCATTTATACATATGATATGTTTGTTATACTGGTGCATTTTCATATAACTCTGCCCAATATATAATTAAACTCCAAGATTCTTAAGACCACACATTCTGTGTGACTAAGTGGAGCATTTTTTAATTAGCAGCTTCACTCATATCCTGGCAAGCTTGGATCTGTACAGGTCTCGGGAGAGGCCATTACTGGCAACACCTGCAGAGACCTGCCTCCTTTCTCCTACTGTCACCTGTCATCAGCATCACTGACATCACTGAATCTTTTGTTCTTAAATTATCAACTGGCTTCACTTTGTCAAATATCACAGATCAACTGTTATAGTGATGCTCCCTCCTAGTAAGCTAGTATCTGTTGCTATGTCCTTTGCATCTCTCAATGTTCAAACCCACTAAAATACAGGTGGGAAAATTAACAAAACCTAAGTGTTTTTGCAAATGTTTTTTACACATTCTATCTGTTACTGAAGCTGAAGAAGCAGCTCATGTGACCTGTAATGACCAAAGATAAGAGATTTACTGTGCTCATGTAAAAGGGATGATTGTACTGATCCAGTTATAGAAAATGGTGTCATCTCCTTTCGAAACTGGATAACACTGGTTTCTGCCTGACCTGGTGAAAGTCTGACTATTTTTTTCACACAATCTAATTAACATGGCACTGCAGCATCAGTCAATCCATAATGCTATCCTGTAGATTGATTAATTGAAAATGTACCTCTGGAAAAATCCTACTCTTTTTGCTGCTTAAAACTGCATACTACAGGAGTTGGACAAATTAGAAGTTTCATTTTGCATGAGTTGACAAAAACAGGGTTACCTGCAGGAAGGAGGCAGCATACCGCTGGGATATTCACAGTTGCCATGAACGCAGTAGTTCTTGTAGTGCTCTGGACAGGGGATATATAGGCCTCTTGCTGCCTCCTCTAGTTTGTTCGTGTTCTCCTCTGTGAACCAGACAGGTGGCATTTTACATATGAAAAGAGCTGAGAGTTTAATTATGCATGCTTTGCTGGCTCTGGTAAATATCACACAAGGACAGAGTTTGCAATGTATGTTTACTTTAAAGAGAACTTCGATGTGACTAGAGTGCAGAATGAAAAAGCCCTCTACACTCCTTTAACCTTTCCAAGCTGTGGAGAACAGAATGATTACGTATGTCAAATGTCATGTGGAAATGCACTTTATTAACAGGGAAGATGGCGTGTGTTGTCCAGTATTGACCATATTCACTGATTTGTGATGCATAAAGAATTAATAACTTTTCCTTGAATCTATGCATCTTTTGCAGTATATCCCTGACATAACATAGATGCTTTTGAAAGCAGCTTCCTCTCATTGTAATGTTGATCAGCTTCACAGAAAGTGAGTATTCTCCATTATGAATTTTATTTTTTGAATCTGAATTTTATGAATAAGAGGAGACTTGTTGACTACTAAAGCTTCCAGGGAGGGTAACGGTCTTACTGACCCTGTGATGTCAATGTCATTAAGCAGTCAGGGCAACAACATTGACTATCTATAAGTGCATGTGATAAGACCGAAGAGCCAAAACCTTTTCTCAAACAATGCCTTTTCATTGTGCAGGATGGCTGTACAGCTGTTTAAGATATGAAGGTGCTGAACTTCACATAGTAACTCCATTGATATGTAATAACAAGCAGGCTTTTGTAATACTTTGTGCAGGGAGGGAGGTATTTTTCAGTACCATTTCTGGATATATTTTATTCTTTTTTCCCCTCTTTTTGCAGATGTCTATGCTGCTCTGCAGCTGTGCACTCTAGTGTAGAGGACACTAGTTAGGCATACAATTAATCAAAAATACTGCTCTCTCTTATGACCCTTGGCATTCTCTGTTCCATGGCAGTATTCAATCAAAGTGGCAGGCACGACAGGGTGCAGCGCACACCATGCTAACTGAGCAAGCATAAAGTCCTGAAAAAAATGCTAGCAGGATTTGCTGTAACCCAGCTTCAGAACACTATACCTTGAGGAGCATGCACTGCCTCTGAATGACCTAAGTATAGATTTTATGCAAGTGCTGCATGCTTGAGATGCTATACTGCTCCATAAACGCAACACAAGTTGCATTCTCATTTCACCTTGTGAAAGTTCCGTTACAGCATAAATATGTATACATGTTATTTATATATATAAAACTTTTCATTGGTATATATGCATGTACATGTGATTTTGTTTTACAACAGAAATACACTGAAAATTGATGGCATACAAAATCCTCTCATTGTAGACAACATTTTGAGGTAGGTAAAGCAGTGATTGCCCACTTTGGATAGAGTATCGGTGTTCTCTCAGAAATAGTCATGCTGCCCCTTAATCACTATCACAGGGCTTCGCCTCACCTGTGTAATCCGTTCTTGCATAATGGCCATCCCCAGTCTTTGCCCCTGTGGTCATGTCATCTGGAGAGGAAATAAAAATTAGTGAAGTGCTGTTAGAGACAAGAGCATCAAACATACCTTTCGCAGGTTGGTTCTGATCATTGCACTATTGCATACAGAGAACACAGCATGATAGGGGCAACAGAATACACCATGTGCAAAATGCCCTACAGGGACCGCTGCCCGCTTCAATTAACATAGATCTTACCTTAATCACAGGGCATGCTGAGGCCTTGTAGAGCAATAAGTGTGGTGTTCTTGTTAATTTGCTTATGTGTATCTGCACAGCTGGGTTGCACGGCAGTAATGACATGAAAACAGTGTGAAGGCTGTATTTGATTGTAATCATAAGCAAGCCCATGCCGAATGACAGGGCACTGGAAGTCAGTGAGCAGTGGAAATGACAGTGGGCTGCAGACAGTGGATTAGCCATCACAGGAAGGAATTTGAGGAACTCACCTTGACAACGGCCCAGGTACTTCACTTCAATACGCTCCTGCTTCTGACAAGAGGCCTCCTTCACCTGACATGGGTTGTCATAGGACTTGCCATCAGAGGCGCAGACAGGGTTGAAGCTGATGTGGGAGCAGTCGATGTTACAGACGCACCTGAGTGAGCAGCAGACCAAAACAAGATATGGAGAAGAACGGGAAGTGAGAGTTGAGAGAGAGAGAGAGGAAGGGGTAGGGGGAGGGGGAGAACGAATGAAAGATGAGAAATGCTGTCAGACATGGCAGCCGTTGGGATGTTAGGGGTGATAACTTGACAGTGCAAGGTCATGTAGACAGCAAGGAGGCCCTGGGGATGTGTGGGGAGGGGATCACAGTGTTACTGATCTCGCTCAGGCAGTCTGAGGGCCACAGGGGGCGGACGGCCTTCCAGAGCCTCAGGTATCTCCATTTCACCACTGAGCCATCAACATCACACACAGCATGGGCTTGGACAGCTCCATAACAGCAAACCAATTAGCAGACAGCACTAATTACTTATTACTTCTTTGCTGTAACTTCTGGTCCTGCTGCTAGTGTTGTGTTTTCCTATCAATATTATTACATCTATTGGATTCAGTACTATTTAATACAATAACTTGGTAAATGTAATTTATGGGGAGTGCATCAGAGTTCTCCACAAACCAGCCCATCATTAGGAATTCTAGAGAGAAATTCAGACTGATATGCGTTTGTCATCTGCGCTCTGCTGTGAAATGACTGAAATTCTAATGATTGGTACCATGGGCAGCAGTGGAATTAGGAGGAATCTCAACATTGGAAATACAGTGGCACTGGTAGGCTCTCAGCCTGACAAGGCTTCTAGATTGGAAAGCTATTAGAAAGTGGACAAGAAAGATCATCCAAGGTGCCCTCTTTTGCATAACGTTTGTGACTAATAAGTACAGCAGGACAGTGGAATTGTTAACAGTACTGCTGATCAGAATCAGAATCACTTTATTTGCCAAGTATGTGATATGTACAAGGAATTGTATCTGGTGAATTGGTGCAAAACTGCATTGCATATTTCAGCTGCTATCTTAAGATTCAATACCTTAGTCTGTTATCCTTCATACACAGGTTTTCATGTATTTCTAAAAACTGTGAATTGGAAATAAATTGATAGTCTGAATTTTTTTGGAGCTCTCACTGGGAGACACTATTAAAGCAAAATATATTATTTACTCTTGAGAACAGGCAATCCATAAACTTGCATGTTGAATTTATCTTTGTTTTTTTTACATAAATACTGCACAAGGCCATCTAGAATGAAATCATTTAGTCTTTCTATTTTCAATGACACTCCCAAATATGGAAAAAAGAAGCTCACTTAAATTTGAATAATGGAGAAGGGTGTGGAACTCCCAGTGTACAATGTTCAAACGGTGCCACGTGTTGTCATTTTTGCACTGTAGATCAACAATGACATCTGAAAGAACTGCACTACAGGATGCTCAGTAATTGAATGAACTTGGTAATGCTATTTATTGCTTATTATTTGCAGTACTATCATTATAGCACATTCACAATTGATTAAGAAGACCATAGCAAGACAAACTATTTTGCATTATTGTAAGATGTGGTCACAGAACCCTACCGATTTTTAAATGAGCACTCTTCAAAATACTGTCAAATTCAATTTTCACACAATTAGTTCATTGCCTGCTTTGTCAGGCCCTGCATGGTGCACAAGGACAGGCTACCATATTGGGCTATGTTTGTGTCTTCCTCATTTTGTGTTGGATAATGTGTGAGGGAAGTCTACAAGGGCACTTGACTGAAATATGCAAAATCCTCAAAGGTGCCAACAAAGTCAACACAATGGATTTTGTCTGAATCAAAAGTTTCTCACAAACCTGAACACACAAATGGAAACTAAGGGGAAGGGAATTTTAAGGCTGAGACCAGGAGGTACTATCTTACACGGGAGCTCACTAATTTCATTGTTGAACCTGATGACCTGGCTTCCTTTAAAAACAAGGTTCTCACATCAATTACTAATTAGCAACAAAAACAGCTAGAAGTATTATAGGTAATATCCACATGTGTGCCATATCGGCTATCAGGCCCAAAGCCTTTCCTGGTTTACCTGGCATTAAGTGGATGAGAAAGCATGTGTCTCTTCATTAAGTGGACGAGATGCCAGACCATCACATTGATTACCCCAAGCAAAGCAGGTTCCCACTTATACAGCTGGATGGACTGGAGTCACTGGGGTAAAGTACTTCAATCAAAGCACAGCAACAGGACTGCAACAGGGACTTAAATCCACTATGCAGTTATGAGCCCAGAGCACCCACCTAGATGACATGCAGAGCATCCCTGCTACACAGTAGATCAGGTGGAAAAGCAAGAAGTCAGTGGAAAAGTGAGAAACAACAGTTAAATTAAGGGAGAACTTTAGAGGGGTGTGACTGTAAGCCCCAGGTAGAATTTAGCCAGGACATTTGGGTGAAAATCCCCACATTTATGAACTGAACTGTGCTATGTGATCATGAATGATCAAAAAGTCAGGGCACTGGTCATACTGGGGCATCAGTTTGTACACTGCCATTAGTTAATGGTTGAATGGCCTTCTTTCATTTGTAACTTTGTTTTTCTGATCTGTATGTCAAGGCTGTTTAGTTTATACAGGGCTCTACAAGTAAGTAACTAGTATTTATATGTCAGCAAGGTGGATTCTGAGGGTTTGGAATGACACATTGGTAAAAATGTTCTGCATAGCAACCATGGAACTACTCATCTGTTTAGCTTCACTGCACCTTGGGGAATCTTTTCAGAAATATTTTTTTGTGTGCTGGAGTGGCTAGTTGACATTGCAATAACAACAGTTAACATCTAAAAAATCAGATATAAAAAATAGATGTTGGGGAAAAAACAAACATTGATATTGATCTGTCTTGTCAGGAGCCTACACTCAAGTTTTGGTACCTGGAAGGGGGTGAAAGTGGTAATTATCACTGCTACTCAGATCAGAAACCACTGAGAGTGCCTTCAAAAGCACTCCCTCTGAACTAGGACACTGCAATCAGAACCATCATAATACAGCAGATTGGAGATGCAATGTGATAAGACTTTAAACCCTCCTGACAAAAAGGTAACTACTGAATATATAGGAAAAAAATCAACAGACCACATTTTTCTAAGATTGGACATTTGTCCAAGCAATTCAGCATTATTCCTCCAAGCCCGTCCTTACCTTCACCCAAGGTTAACCCTCTCAGATTCTGAAGGACAAAATGTAACTGAAGTGTAAACCTTTTAGCTACCTTATTCTTCTGAACAGTGTTGACAATACTGACCCAGTATATCATTATTTAGAAAGAGAAGGAAAATATTTTGCTCTCTGTAGTCGTTTGTTCTGTAACACATTGCTAGATCTAAAGCTGATTTCAGGCAATGATAACTTCAAGGGTTAATAACAGATCAGAAAAACAATTAATGAGTGAGTTGTACAGTATGTGTTGTCATAGCTCCTGCATTTAGCAAAAGCTCAGCTTACCCTGTGAACATTACCCCTTATGAAATTTTACTGTGATATATCATTATAAAACATGAATAACCTGCAGTAAGAAACAAAGCTTTATCATTGGGATTAGTAAAACTATGGGCAAACAGCTAAAATACAATGCAAAGTTACTGTGGTGAACATGGTTTACACCCCAGTCTGTTTCAAAATCAGGGTGGGAGAGTTGTGCTGTTCATTTGCAGTACTACCCAACAGTCTTATCAGGAATTAATAAATGTCACCCACTTCTCAGATGAACATCAGCCCAATCATAGCTTTATTACCCGTTAAATAAGGCAGGGAACAGCACAAGTCAGTTCACCACAAGGACAAGCAACACCAGGTAAACTGAAGAGGCAAACACACACACATTTAATCACACACAATGGGGAAAAAAAGACACAGAAAGAAGTGCAAAAATGCATTATGGAGCTTGTTCCCCAACACGGCAACCCACTGGTGTACATAAAGGATAATGTGTCTGGAGCCCATGCATTTTTAATGAGCCTTCTCACATTCTCCTGCCCTGTGCATTATTGCAACACTATACTCTAGTACTGCCTCAGACAAAGTAGAACAATGCATCACACTCTGTTCCCTTGTTAGTCTGGAGTCATGACCCCACACTCTGCAAACACGCATATTAAATCTGGCAATTGTGCACTCTCATTCGCACAAACTGAGGCACTAGCATATATACACATTCAATCCTACACTTCTATCCCACACCATCTTTACCTATTGACAATTAGTGACTTCTATAAACAAAATCGATTCTAAAAAACTCTCAAGTAATGACAGAACAGCTATGAGAAGGGTGGATAAGGAACGTGCAAAAACTGGGGCCAAAAACATGAGTCATTAAATCATAAAAAAATGCCAAAAGCACAAATACATGCTCTGACTCCCAGGAAGCATCTGAAAAAATCTTGGTAACAAAAAGGTAAAGATCTAAAAGTGTGCAATATAACCATAATAGTTGGCACACAGTATGAGTGACACAGTGGTGTCAGCTGACAGGTATGTTATAGCCATGTTGCTTGACTGTTCTTTACTCAGACCTTACTTCCTGCTAATGGTGCACTCAGTCAGACAGGTCTTGAGATGCTGTGTGCTGGATGAACCTCTGTGCAGGACATGGACTATCTATTTGCTAGTATCATGTATTTTGTTTTTTTAAGCCTGATGATTAATTATTGTGCTTACTCTATCACTCTCTGACACTTTAGGCCTATGGTAATGTCTCACTGTAAAGTGTCTTGAAAGCATGCTTGCCCTGAAAACCTGTTTCTATGTAAACAAAAAAGCATTGACTGGAAAAGTGCACACCTGATAGCAAACATTACTCATATCTTCATCACTTTACATGCTAAAATTGAAGAAGTTACATAAAATACCCAGGAACCAGGACAATAGCAACTTAATCTGTTATTTTTACACTCAAATGTTTTTGAAGTTTCAGAAAGAATATTGACCTGATCTTTGAGGTCAACATGCAGCTGCTCTGCTTGAAAAGCCTTGTACCAGGCTTAGCTCAGAGCCAAATCAGATAAGCAGTCATGGCACCATTACCTTTTCTAGTAGTCTGTTCCTGTCAGTTATAGCTCAGTTACTTTCTAAGCCTAAGGTGCATGCATTAGAAAATAATTAATTACTATGTAGTTCTATTCAATGGAAAGTGCACAGTGGACAAAGGTTGTTGCTGTACATCAAAATACAGAATTTATCCCTTTAATCCCTAATCTTAATATTTTAAAATAAGATGTGTGTGAAGAAAAAATATCAGATAAAGTCCAACGCACAAATTGTAAAACGCTTCTTTCTAAATTAATCTAATTTATCGGTCAGTGCAGCAAGTGCAACTGTTTCTACAGAGTTAAGACAGTGAACTCACTCATGTTGGGTCAACTATGGTTAACAAGACCAGGGCAAAAATGAGCCAGAGGAAAATGTCATGAACTACTGCCTTTGTCACAATTTCATCTACCTCTGAGCTGCTCAGCTGTAGACTATGCTTTTGTGTGTAACTAAGGAGAACTCCCATTTCACTTTGTCTATGCACTATTGCTCTGCAGAACATCCCACAATGAAAAAGTGTTATAAAATAATTGATTCAGTGTTCCAGGTTGATCATGATCATTAGTAAACTACAGTAGCCACAGAAATTATTTCCTTTCCAGCTGCACCCTTCTAGAGTAATGCCAAGTTTCTACCCACCAAGTTTTCCATCCACACCATTGGCTATTCTCCCTTTGGCCTGTTGGCATTTAAAAACTAGGGGTCTTTTTACCTGGCTAAGCCATTTGAATAGTAATTGTCTGCCTCCATTTGTTGGGTATTAATCCTACTGCTCAGACTCTATTAAAGAAAGATAGAATTGCTGCGACTGTAAGCAGCCATTCTAGGCATCCCTGAGCATCACACAAAATAATCTATCTTTCTCCACAGTGACTCAGCTCAGTAAAGGGAAAGTGGGCCCAATTCAATTAACATTTAGTTAGGGAAGATGCATTTTAAGGTAAAAAAAGAATTAATCTACAGGAATAAAATGGGTGGTGATGTTCCATTTTAAAATCCCATGCTAAAAATAAATCTTATCTATCAGCAGGCATTTGGCCAAGATACAGTATGAAGTTAAAGTCATTTTCATGGTCTGCATTAACTCTGGGAGAATTAGCCAGCTATGCTAGACTTGCTGAAGTTTGTGTGCAGATAAAATCTCTTACATCCCAAATTAGGTAAGCAGAGTCAGACATTCTGAGCAAGTCTATGTTTGTTATGACTTGAGGTTATGAACATGGACAGTCTACCTACTTGTTTAAAACCTCGTTCATGCTGTAATTGGGTAATTCAGGAGCAATAATTGCTATTGCCAGCTAATGTTACTATACAGTGCAGATAGAGACATCTGTGTCACCGTGACTTTCCTCAGCTTTGCAGAAAGCCAAAGAAACCTTATGAACTTGTTGTTTTGGTAAAGATGCTAGCTCTTGCTCATTACAAATCTGCCAAAAGCCATAGTCATTGTTCTCTCTCTGTTTTATTCCTCTTAACTCAAAGCATGTCTCAGTAATAAAACATTTTAATTATATAAACCATGAAGGGCATGCACCATGTACTGATGTCCTGGGACCATTACACTTGGAAATGTTTGATATAAGCTTTCTAATCAGTAGCTCTGTCTTCTTTACTCCCTTGGATAGCAGCATGAAACAAGGTCATTATATGAATGTGAAAGTGGAGAATGCACTTCTCTAGGAACCTCCTTACTTTGAGACCTGGTGAACACATCTTTTAAATTGTAAAACTAAAAACAAAATACTTCATTCTTCAATCTAATGTCTTTGTATGTTTGTAAGATGTGAACTGTTTTTTTAAAGAAATGTAATCCATGCCCCCCCCCACTGTCTCTTGTATTTCTGTATTTTGCCATTATCAATAACGAGAATAAAGGATTTCTGAGACAGACATTTATCACACTGTGATCATGCAGCTTTGAGTTACTTAAAAATCTGTGAATTTCAATGAATGTTTTCTTACTGATTTTTTTTCTTTCATCAATATGATGTTTTCATATGCAATATTCTCAGCAATGTGTTCTCAATAGCCACTTTTTATCATGAAAGCAATGCACATGGTTCTTTGGTCTGAACCTATTGTTTCTTTGCTTTTAAATTACTCTTACCACACATCCTCTGCATCCTCGTCACACTCGGCACCAAACTGGCAGATGTCACACGTGGATGGTTCCTTCTGGTTGGTCTCTCCTGAGCCCTCTCCCCCTGTAGGGACACAGGGCATCTTCCATGAGGAACAGTCACATTGTCACAACCCTCCTAGCATAACATCTGCAAAAAACTTGCCAAACCTGGTAAAACATTCAAACACTTAAACATTCCATTAAACTCAGTACCTGTCTGCGTTCATTTATGTTTGATGGTGTACAATGGGTACAACATAAATGTTATGCATAAATAGATCAGTTTCGGTGTTTCTGTTTAAACTTCAGCTGGCTCTATACTCAACCCTTCACACACAGGAGTTCACAACTCCGTCAGGAACACTAAATTAAGCTCTGGTTGATATATCTCGCCATTTAATTTTGGTGCAAGATAAGATTTCAAAGGAAGGCTGCAGTAAGTCTAACCCCGATCTCCATCATCTTATAAGCATATCTGCTTTATTTGCATGGCAATGAGAAATGTGGTAGGAAAGCAACTTCAGTCTCCTTTAAAACCTCAGAGACTCTGCTGCAACTTGCTCTTTTAGTTTACCACAAGAAACTCTTCAAAAGAAAGAAACAGATCAATAGTGGCAAGCACTCAATCATAAAACAGGATAAAGCTGATGCAGTGTGAGATAGTATCTGCTACCAGACTAAGGGCCATGCCTATAAAACATTTCTCACCACAGTTTCCACCTGCTTTCAGTTTTAGTAAGGAAACAAGACAAATTGTAAAGAGTCATACGCATTTGTGGGAATGCTAATCCTGGAGACCCCTTGGGTAGTTTTGAGGCTTATGTCTTTCATTCCATTCAGAGTTCATACTTATGTTTTCTTAAAAACACTGCAGTAAACTTGGTATAATGGTAAAAGCTCTGTATTTCTGTTTTTTTCCTTTTCATCTCTGAGCTTTCACCTTGGCATCAACATGTCATTATATTACTCTGTCCGATTTGAGGTTGCTCTTTCCTGTTTCTGGAATTTTTTCGGCAAAATAAGATATTGTACTTATTTACTACCAGACTAAAGATCCTGATGCTATAAATAGAGGTTTGTGTTGTAGAGAACACATTGTGTTAGAGCAATCTGAGAAATCTCTATAGAACCTTGGCATTGAATCTGTCAGGGTTACCACAATCATTTACTAAAGATCATTATTACTTCTGTAAATGTAGTCCATCCTGAAAGCCTGTTGGTCAGGAGATTCAATGTATCATAAAAAAATAATGACAAGAGGATCACACATGATGAAGTTGTGCAAGTGAGTGCCAAAAAGATTCTGGTAATGTTTAATACTGACGTTAATTAACTTCTAATAATAGAATCTTAAAAAGAGTGCAGTGGCTGTTATCAGCATATCAACAATAGCAAAAACAATAATGATAATAAAATGGACCCATGCATTTCCTGACTTACACAAGAATGTGTAATATCTTCCTTATTTGGTACTTTAGTACTTAACTGAATCTAAAATTTTAACCAAACCATTTCTTGAAGATGCCTAGAATTTGAGACTGACAAGTGTCTTCCAGTTACCCACAGCTCTTGTGCAGAGATGTCTCCATTTCTCTCTGCAGTCCTGATTAATTTCCAGTGGTAAGCCAATGTCCTGGTTTCACTACTGGGCAGGAACTGACTCAGTCTCTACCCCACAGAATATTTTTATCCTGAGGTAAAATCTCTCGTGTTCTAACTTTAAACCAGGAATCATTCTTATTGCATCAGAGGATGTAACATACCGTTTTGAGGTAATGGGACAAAACTTGAACACAATAAATTAGGTTTTACTAGTGCATTACAACTTGAGCACAACATCCCTGGATTTATATTCTACTTTTTGCCATTTATCCAAGTCATTGATAGAGATAAGAAAAAAACAATGGGGCTAAAATGTTTCCCTGTGGTACCATTGCTTACATCTGCCCAGTTAGAAGTCCCTAGACATGATGTACTGTTTCCTGTTTGCTAGTCATCTCCCTTCAGCATAGATGATGACCTTGTTACATGTATAATTTCACAGCGTGAGATTTTTAGTATGAATACACAATGTTTTTCTTTGTATTGTGCTTAATTTGACTACAGGAAAAGTAAATCACTAAAAGTTTCATCTCCTATTGTGGGAATCCAGACAGATTCTGAGAATCTCGGGTCAGATGGAAGACACTCTTTGGAAGCAGGGTGTAACCAGCAGGTACAATAATGGACAGAAACATGTTGTAGTTAATGATATAGTGATTCAAAACTTTGGAGCACAGATGTTTATGATAAAGCCTTAGAAAGAGAGGAATAGTTAGAAATTAGAAATCTCCCTTAAAATTCAGGGTGCTAAAAGAAAGTGTTTGTGGCCTTTGTTAAAACCTTGATGTAACAACAAATCAAACTATCCATCTATTCACACCACAATGGGCAGAGGTGTTAATGTCAGAAGAGTTGCAGAAGAAACGATCCACTGTAAAACAACAGAACTGAAATCCTTACTCCTATCGAATCTGACACCATAAAGTAAGTCATCTTCACTGATGCCCTAGCCAGAGGGCAATTTTTCAGTGATGTATAATCACTACTTCCAACTTGTACAGTAGAAATGGAGGAGAATATTTCTGTTTATTAATTAAGAAAACATCAACAAAGGATATACTTCTGAATGTAGGCTATGTCTCATCTTGTAGAATTCATTAATATAAATCCTAGTAAAAAACGTGACCACCCCTCCCCTCAGGTCATCTTTTGGGCCAAGCTCTAAAGTAGTCTGAAGTTCCTGTCAGAGCAGGGCCTGAAGACCTTGTAACCATGGTAACATCCAAGTCAGCTGGTATAAGAAATTGCTCCTATGTAGGTATTTTATAACTACAGGGGAGGGCTGCCAAAATGAGCTATAGCACAAACTCAGGGGCAAAGCCATTGGAAGGCAAATCAGGAGAAGAAGAATAGGTAGGAAGGGATACTGAAACAACATCTCATCCTGTCAGTCCTGACAGCTAACCTCCTGGAGAGGAGCAACAGGTAGTAAAGACACAGCACCCTGCCATTTTTGTCATCGCTGAGCCATTAAAGATCAATTCAAAATCAAAACACAGCAAATTTTCATTGTTAGAATGATACTGAAGAACTCAGACTTCACCTACTCCACTTTCAAGCTTTAAAGTTTACATTGCTACCCTCACCAAAAGTTCTTGCTGTCAAATAAATATCAGGTATTCTTCACAATGCAAAACTCGGCAAAACATAGCACTGTAAGTCCTACTGAGTTGTGACTCAGAGGTTAGTCTCTATTACCTTGCATTACCTATTAACCTATGCACCTGGTGGTTTGACGTTTTGTTATTTTTTACAAGTACAAATATTTCTGAATAAAAAAAATATTTTTTAAAGGTATAACTGTCAGGCTCACCACAGCTTAGAGCTAGCATTAGCATGGCAGCTGGCAGCTGGCCTCCACTCCATTCACCTGTCTCTCAGCCCTGGTTGCCATGGACACCAACTGACAGGAGACCTGAATCACCTAGAGGCAAATATCATCTCGCCTGTCTGGGTGATTCAGGGATATTTAAGGGCAGCTCAGACTCTGCTCTGGGCTCTGTTATGGTGTTTGTACTCTGAACCTCTCAAGTCTCGAGCTTGTCCTTGTTTTCCCTAGCTTTGCCCTAGCCTTGTTCCTGTTTCCCTAGTGTTGCCTTCTTATTGGATTCCTGACCTCTGCTTTGATTCTGACTTTGTTCCCCGATTCCCCCTTGGCTTGTTTTTCATGGTTACTCGGCTTCGGACCCTGCTTACCTTAACAGCATTGTCCCCTAGGCCTGCCCTTGCTACGAACTGTTCTATTGTGTTTCTTGGACCTGAACCTCACCTGCTTTGACCACGCTCCTTGGTTCTCCCCTCCGTGCTTTGTACAGTGTTTGTCTCCCACCGGCTTCGACCCTCAGCTGCTCAACCACGGACTTGAACTGCGTTTTCTGCCTGCAAATGCAGATCTGCCACATCACTGCGTCCCCAGCTAGCCACAGCATCACGTCTGCCCGTGTGCTCGGCTCACCTGTCGGCAAGCAGCCTGCAACTCGTCTCCAGTGCGAGCGCTCCCTGCTCAGCCTGGTTCCCCTGGAAAACGCGCAGCACTATCCAGCTGTTCTCTGTCAGCGCCCTGCCCACAGTTTCCCATCAGTTACCCATCTCATCTGACTTTCGCCCAGCAAGTGGGTTCTTCTATACAATTCCCGATCCGCTGCTAGTTCCACTGAGCTACTGGATCGTTACAATAGCAATGTAAAAAAAAAAAAAAGCCAGGACACAACAGGATGATTAAGTTCAATAGAATAATTAAATAAAATTACATATTTGCTATTAATTAACACAAAACATGCTAAGATGAGCCTTTAGTGTCCCAGAATTTCTAGACTACTACTCTTACACAGTCAGGAGAGCACAGCATTAAACAAGGGCACTGAGTCAAGCCCAGACCCAGAGAGCCAGCTGCAAAAGGAAAGCCAATTACAAGCAGAGCACAGGATACAGCACATTTCAAATTTCTGTGGCTAATCCATAGAACAGAGAACAGAGTAAGTATACAGATTTTACTCAGGCTTCCCTCTTTCAAATTCTCTCTCTCTCAGCAAGCCAAATCCTTCCCAAGCGGCATGCGAAATTCATTATTACTGTTTTTTTTTTAATGGTCTGCCAACTTTGTTGTACCGTGCATTCTCTGAGCTAAGTAGCTTAGACTTAGCTATCACATATCAGTCGGGAAAGTAATTGGTAGCTGGTTGGAATTTAAATCGTGTTTCTCAAGATACAGCATTTATGACCGTTCATTTGGACAGCCTTCTGCAGCCCTCCAAGTCCTAGGTAATGTAGGTCTATACAGGAATGGAAGAGTTACAGTGCCCACTGTTCCTCCCAGGTGCTGCATCTGAAATTTTCCTGGCCCTTAAAAAGCACACATGTTTCTTCCATTTGTTATTAGCCTCATTTCCACTAACCAATCAATGCACTTATAGCACATTTTAAGCAACTGAACTGTACAAGACTGAAATATGTTTTTTCCAATGATTTTTTCATGTCCTC